ATGCTGCTTGGCCTGCTGTGTTCATCCAGCCCTGCACCTTGTTGTCTCGGATTCTCCAGCATCTGCAGTTCCTACTATCTCTGATCCAATACAATGTTTGCAACTTTCAAATATCCGCTTTTCATAAACAATGCAGAAACTGATCCATGTAACATTTTTTTAGCTGCTACCTTTTTGATCTTACCTCTCATTTCTAGTTGGTTTGTATATGTTGTGTTGGTTGTTTTTCTTAGGTGATGACGAATAATCTCTCTCCTTTTGTCAATTTAAAAAAAACCTGCTAAATTGGCTGCTTTTAAAGCTTACATTAATTTGGTCTGGGAAAAAGATATCCACCAGGGACGGTATTTTTTTAATTAACCATATCACAACCAACCCAGAGGATGGGTGAAGAAGGGAAGGGGAGCAAATTCATTCCTCCTCACTTGGGAGCATAATGGTTTGGGGTATCCTATCTGGGAGTGAAATGTACTGGATTTAGAACTGTGAGATAGAACAACTGGAGATGCTGGAAGTCAGAGTCGATCAATGTTTTGGGTCTGGACCCTGTATCAGGACTCTTCATCTGAGCCCTGATGAAGGCTCCAGACCCGAAACGTGACTTCCCTGCTCCTCAGATGCTGTCTGACATGCTGTGTTCCTCCAGCTCCACATTTTATTGACTCTGGATTTGCAATTAGGTTTATTTAATATATTGTCACTTGTATCTAGGTACAGTTAAAAGTGGATAATGTCACCATGTTCCGGCGTCATCTTGGATTACAGAATTACTGAATAAATTGTATAAATGGTAAAATACTGAATAAATTAATATTAAATTGAGATTACTAAAACTGGAACAGCTTCAAAATTTCATCTTTCCCTCTCCGCTCCTCCAGTCGCTGCCATCCAAAGTTGTCCCCAGGGGGTCCTGGCAATGTGCTCTTTTCCTGCCGCCACTGACACTGTCGCTTCCACAAGCACCACCTCTGAGCTGTACATCGACTGATGGGGTTCTGGCTCCAGGGCGACCGGCGTGTCCTGGCTCCGAATCGACAGAAAGGGTCCTGGCTCTGGGTCAACCGGTACGGTCCTACTCGTCTTCAGATGCCACTACCGGAGATAAAGCGAGGATGGAGATACACGGAGCCCCGGCTTCCCACAGGAAGACATCAGGGAGGAGGCCCCAGAACAACCAAAAGAAAACAAACATTACCAAGCTGGAAAGACAACGATGAAGCTGTGTGGATGTGGCAGCACCCGCCACATGAGCCATGAGCGGCCGAGCCCTGTGCTCAGGAGCCAGACACTTCTGACCTCGCCGTTGCCATGTTGGATTGGTACCTGCCTGGGAAACTCACCTAGGGTCTGGTTGTAATACTTTGTATATGAGGAATCTTCTCCAGTCTTAAACCTTCTGAGATTTCTGTGTTTCCCAAATACCGATCTATTGACTGTTCCCAATTTAGCTGTTCTTCTAATGATGGCTGTTTCTGAACTCTCTTTTGAAGTGTTTTGAGATTTTTTCCTTATGCTAAAAGTCCTACATAAATTTTTTCTGGTTTTTTTGAATCCACATCACATTTTATTCTTTTCCTGCTTTCATTTACCTCTTAAATCTCTAACCTTTCCTAGTTCTGATAAAAGGCCAATACAGCTTCTCTCTCCACAGATGCTGTCAGGCCTGAGTATTTTAGCATGTTCTGTCTTCTTTACCTGCTTCTGATATTGATGTAGCCCAATGCTTAAGAGCAGCTGATACACCAAATTGCTGTTGCCCATATTTCTATAGCTCAAACGTATATTCATCATTTCATTTGAAACTAACGCTCCATTATTTTGGTAACATTCTTTAAGTGCTGTTACAATGTAAAATGTCATCATTACCTTTACTTGCTTTGTCCACATTTTGCAGTTCATCTGGAAACTTCAAAAGATCTGGATATTTCTCCTCACAAATTTGTGCCAGGAAATGTAAAAATGTGGTCTTTTGATCTGCTGATTTGGTATCTTTCAGCTGTGGAATATAAGAAAAAATTATTTTAATTTAAGAATGCTTAAATAATGTGGCATTTGGTTCTCTTTAATTAATCATTTCATCAAAGTAACATTTTCATTTTTGGCTTTTTTTCATTGTGAATATCTGAGTAAGGCAAAATAAAAAGATATGAGCTCCAGATTAATTCTTAGGCCTTGGCTTTAGATTTGAACAGTCATTAATTTTTCTATTTGCTTCAGATTTTTCATTTAGCAATCAGAACCACTCTTATGCGCTCTGGGTTTTATTGAAACAACAATTAAGGAAACTGGTTTACAGGTTACATTTTCTGCTGTTTCTTTGGTTTTACAGTATGTGCATCAACTACAATAAACTATGAGTTAATTATTATAAAACACAAAATAATATTCTCTTCATGATTGTGTTTCCCATGTATGCAGGATCAGGACTAAAACTTTGCAAAGATTGTTTGTTGACAAATGTCAATTAGTAAGTTTTTTTTGTTAGTTCATCGGATGAAAATCAGACGGCTAGGCCAACATTTATTGTCCATCACTAATTGCACAAGGGCCACTTAATTGTCAACCATATTAATGTGGGTTTGGAATTACATGTAGGGCAGACCAGGCAAGGAAGGCAGATTTCTTTTCCTAAAAAACTTCAGTGAATCAGGTGGATTTTTATGGCAATCAATGGTTACATGGTCACTGTTAAGGAGCTTCTCATTCTAGACATTTGCCGAGTTCAAATTTTATCATCTACCAACCATGTCCCCAGAATATTAGTCTGGAGTTCTTGATTCCTAGTTCAGTGATATTGCAACCATATGTCCCCATCCATTATGTTCTAAGTTTATGGCCCCGGCACATATGACAGAAGACTAGCTTTATTCAAGCATTTAGTTCATCCAGCTATTTTAATCATTTACCATGGCCAATCCCAGAATTTTACAACTGTTTTTATCTGCAATGTAAAAACAAGGGAAGATTTAAATTTACATAATACATTATACACAGCACATCCAAAAGCACTTATGAGCAAATTAAGCACTTTTGAATTGTTCAACCTTTTGCTATGAAACAGAAATTCAGTGACAAAGGGGGAGGCAGTGTGGGCAGGAGGGCTTTTCCAATATATTCACGTGGTGGTGAGCTAATTCAATATACATCGGTGAGGAGCACAGTAAATAAATGGAGCGTGCCATGTAGGACAGCGGCCTTGGACCAAATGCAGGATCACAATGCACTGTTAAAGTGAAAAAGTAGAAGGCAGCCTCCAGGAAAAAAAAGAACAAAACAATGAAACAAAATATGCACACCCACAAGGGAAGCCCAGGCCCACTCAACAGAGGATAATAACCCATAGTTTCGTCAAGATAAGATAGTGAACCATTTAGCTTCAAAACTGGTGGTGACGAGATTGCCACAGGCCTTTCAGCATCATTGTACGTCCTGGCATCTGTCATTGCATCCACACCGTTCCTTCCCAATTTCCTAATATCATTTTCCCAACCCCTCATCAGAGGAGATATATGAACATAGGAAATAGGGTTATGAGGTGTTTTGAGCTTCTCCATCATTCATTAACAACACAGTTAATCTGATAAAAACCAAAAGAACTATGGATGCTGTAAATCAGGAACAAAAACAAAGTTGCTGGAGAAGCTCAGCAGGTCTGGCAGCATCTGTGAAGGAAAAAACAGAGTTAACGTTTCAGGTCCGGTGACCCTTCCTCAGAACTGATGGTGGTTGGGAAAACGTCAGTTTATATGCAGAAAATAGGGAGGTGGGTGGGGTAGGGAAGGGAGTAAACGATAGGATAGAGCCCAAAGAGAGAGAAAGACAGTTGGACAGACAAAAGGAATGCCAACGATCAGGCTGGGAGGGTGAATAGTTGTTAATGGGGACTGTTAGTGACTAACAACAGGGGGTGTGTAAGGCAGGCTATGTGGTAACAAGGCCTGGTGTGTGGGGTAGGGAGCAGGGACATGGGAGAGTTTAGGCCCTAAAATTATTGAACTCAATATTGAGTCCGGAGGGCTGTAGGGTCCCCAAGCGGAAAATGAGGTGCTGTTCTTCCAGTTTACGTTGGACTTCGCTGGAACAGTGCAGCAAGCCAGAGACAGAAATATTGGCCACGGAGCAGGGTGGTGCGTTGAAGTGGCAGGCAACAGGTAGTTCAGGGTCTTTTTTGCAAGCAGAACGTAGATATTCTGTGAAGCAGTTGCCAAGTCTACGCTTCGTTTCCCCAGTGTAGAGGAGACCACATTGTGAGCAGCGAATGCAGTAGACTACATTCTGGGAAGTGCAGACGAAGTGTTGCTTCACCTGGAAGGTATGTTTGGGCCCTTGGATACTGAGGAGTGAGGAGCTAAATGCGCAGGTGTTGCACCTTCGCCGGTTACAGGGCTGTGGGGAGGTGTTGAGGGTGAAGGAAGTGTGGACCAGGGTGTCCTGGAGGGAACGGTCCCTGTGGAAGGCGGACAAGGGAGGGGAGGGGAATAGGTGTCTGGTGGTGGCATCTCGCTGCAGGTGGCAGAAATGGCATCTGATGATCTTCTGGATGTGGATGCTGGTGGGATGGAAGGTGAGGATAAGGGGAACCCTATTGCTGTTGCGGAAGGGAAGAGAAGGGGTGAGGGCAGAAGTGCAGGAGATGGGTCAGACCTGGTTGAGGGCCCTGTCGACAACGGAGCTGGGGAATCCTCGGTTGTGGAAGAAGGTGGGCATTTCGGAGGCTCCCTAATCATGGCCTCAAGCCACTTTCCAGGCAGCCACCTATGCTTTTTGACTCTCTTTAGTCAAGAATCAATCTGAATCCTCGACCTTCCCTTCTGTATATACCTTCCTGCAAAGTGAGGTTGTGTAGGGTGTTGCAAACCACAATAATCTTGAAAATCTCAAGTTACAATCACACTTATTCTGGAGATTACAGAAATAATTTGCCTGAGCAGTTCAGGGAATTAAACCTCATCTTTAGCAGTCTGAAATGGTCAAATGCTGAAAGCTTTTGCAACCATCTGCAGCTAGAGCTATCAACCGAATGATTCATTTCGGTGTCTTTCACAGGTCCCCAGCATCATGGATGACAATTTGATTCGCTCCTTGTTATATCAAGAAATGGTTGAAGACACTAGATACTGTAAAGCTGAAAGATCCCTACAACGTTCCAGCGATACTAGTGAAAATATGTGCTCCATTATTGGCTACGCATCTAACCACAAAAACCAGGACAAATTCAATGCAATCAATTAAAGCTCCATCAGTCTACTCTCAATCATCAGCAGGAGACTTTGAAGGTGGAATCAAGCAGCACTTGTTCAGCAATAACTCACTCCCTGATCTCAGCTTGGATTCTGCCAGGGCAACTTAACCTCTGATCTCATTACAACCTTAGTACAAATCTGGATAAAAAAGTTGAATTCCAAAGATGAGGTGAGAGTAAAAGCCCTTGTTATCAAGGCAACGTTTGGCTGAGAACAGCATTAAGGAGGCTTATCAAAACTGAAATCAATTAGGAATGATGAGAAATCTTTCTAGTGGTTGCAGTCATATTGAGCACAAATGAAGATACTTGTTAAGGTCAATCTCTCTGACCCAGGACATCACTGCAATAACTCATTTGGGCAGTATCCAGAATATCTTCAGCTGTGATACACAGAAATGGGGATTGCTCATTGTTCAGCACTATTAAAGATTCTTCAGACACTGAAGTACTCCATGTCCATATGCAACAAAAACTGAATAACAGTCAGGTTGAGTTGATAAATGGCAAGTAACATTCATGCTACACAAGTGCCAGGTAATGACCATTGCCAACAAGAAGGAATCTAACCATTTCCCCTTCTTGTTAAATGGCATTACCGTTGTCGAAACCCCACAATCAACACCCCAAGGGTTTACCATTGATCAGAAAATGAAATCTACTAGCCATCTAAATACTATGGATGTAAGAGCAGGTCAGAGGCTGAGAATTCTGCGGAGAGTAACTCAACTCCTGCCTTCCCTCAGTCTATCCACAATCCACAGTTCTCAAGTCAAGAATGTGACAATATACCTTTCACTTGCCTGGATGAATCTCACTCCAACAACACTCAAGAAGCTCAGTGCCATCCCGAACAAAAACAACCTGCTTGACCCTCTCCACTACCTTAAACATTCACTTCCTTCACCACCAATGCACAGTGGCAGCAAGGTGTACCAAATGCAATAGGCACTGCAGCAACTGACCAAAGCTTCTTCAACAGCACTTTCCAAACCCACAGTTCTAACACTTTGAAGAAAACAGCAACAAATGCATGAGAACATCAACTCCCACAAATTTTCCTAGAAGCCACACATCCATAAATTGGAAATACCTTGCTGTTTTCTCACTGTTGCTAGGTCAAAATCCTACAAATCCTTCCTAACAGCAAAGTAGGTCTTTCAACAGCGGATGATTGCAGCAATTGAAGGACAATCACTGCCAAGCTCTTCAAGTGCAGTTACAAATGGGTCATAAATACTGGCAGAGGCAATGATGCTTACTTTCCATGAATGAAAACATTTGAAAGATCCATTAGTTAACTCTATTGCTGCCCTTGTTGTGGCATAAGCAGCATTGCATCTCTTCTGAGCTGCACTTTGCAGGTTATGCACTGAGGTCATCAGTCAGGTCTTCTATTGGTTTGGTCACTAAGACAGGGCTTTGGGCTCTAAGATAATGTGGCACTAAGGATGGGTAGCCTGTGTAGATTGAAACTTGTAGCTATAGTTATGGTAACTGTTGATCAGACAGATGATGACAGGTAAAACAGCAATACATTTATAAATGTGAGCCTGTTTTTGCAATGAGGTTTCACCTGTACCACCTATGTACCCTCAGAAGCATTTCTTTTTCATTCTCCCCCCATTAGGTGCACTGTGGTAGGCAGTTCCTAGCTGGAAGCATGGGTGGAGATTAAATATGGCACCAGCATTCCTGAAAGATCCCATCGAGGCAAATACTTCCACCTTTGGTGAGTGCACGATAGCACATGCAAGGTGACGTAGAGGCAATGTGCTTATATAATGAGGAGAGCAATGTAAATCTGCATGAGAAAACATGCTTATGAATAGAAACGTGCCATGAAACTCCCCCAAATTGACAATTAACTGATTTTTTGTAAAATTCAGCCCATGATAACTATTATCCATTGCCAACCAAACTCTCTGATTCTGGATCCTCATTCCTTCAAATGGGAAATTGTTTTTGGAGATTTTTTAAAATGTTGCATTTTACATTATCATTCCTATTTTACTTTTTGTCTTTTTTTTGCCTTTTGCTTTTTCTAGTCTGGCCTTCTTCTCTATATCTCTTTGTGTGCCTGATTTGATCATGGATTCACTCTCTCTAATTCTGCCTCCTTATTGTCTTTCCCATATTTGATGTGTTAATATCGTTGGTTAAGGAGGTACACCTTTAGTTGTCATTATTCACCAAGGTCTCAGATACCCTATCATTCTGCAAACTATAACACAAACATTTTTGAGCTGTACGCAGAGAAAAGTGTAACTTACCGACCATGACGTGAGATTTCCTTCTCCAGCAAATTCTGGTCTATTTTGTCAACCTGTATGTTTTATTTTTCATAGTTTGAAGAGTTTAGGGGTGAACACTCTACAATGAGCTGTAATTTTATCTATTTGTTTGTGACAAGTCTGTACAGTATTGTATGACAAAATGTTTTGTTTTACTTTTATGGTTCTGCCTAAATATTTTGAGATATGGACTTACTTTGCATAGGAAGTTGATGTTAAAGCCAAATGTTTGAGCATTTCGAGAACCAGCATTCATGTAGTTTCCAATTAGTAACACCAGCTCCAGCAGGTTTCCAAATCTTTTACTCTTCTTTAACTCCTCACATGCAGTTGCAACAGCCATAATGTCAGGTCTGATATTATTCACCTGTTCCTCAAACTGAAGCTTAAACAGAACAGCATTCAGCCGTGGACGAAGATTTTTAACACTGCTGATCTGGTTGGAAAGAAGAATAAAAATGTAAGCCTTGGTCCCATTTTGATACAAAACAAATTAATTTAACCAAAGATGATTTATTGATATTAATAAGCTGTAGGAGGATTTTAACTCATAAGGTGTGAAAAAATGGATCCAAGAATCAAAGACGTCTGGGCAAGCAATTGGAATGCTAACTGCAGTTGGTAATAACGACTGCTTATTTTACAATAACTAATAAAAGATACAGTTCTACCATAGATCAGTCCAGTCAGCCAATACACTAAATCACATAACAATAATATGTGCTTATGACCCAAAGTAGCAGAGCAATCAAAAAATGTTCATGTGGTAAACCTATTGGGTTACAGAAATATATTGCTTGGTAAGGCATGAAAGATTTTTATTGACTAAATATAAATAAACAGGATCTCACTAACACAAAAATACATGCAATAACATCACTAAGTACAAATCAGGAAAAGTTTGCGACGAAAACTTAAATTTGTAACCTTGTGCTAACTTCACCACAGAAAACTAGAAGATCAGACAAAAATCATGCAAACAATTACAATTATAAAAACAATTATAAAAGCAAAATAATCCAGATGCAGCGAAATCTGAAATAAAAACTGAGAGTGGTGGAAATACGCAGCAGGACAGGCAGCACCTGTAGAAAGAGAGAAAGAAGCAGGGAGCAGAATTCTCCCAGCCCTGAATGATATGGGCAATCTTGAGACAGTTGGAAAAATGAGAGATCAGAAAAATTAGATTGTCAAGAATATTCGCCTAGGTTTAGAACAACAAAATAGGAACCTCGCAAGTGAATGGGGAGAAGCCAATATGCTTGCATTTAATTCACAATATTATCTATTCTTAACTCATTTATTATGCAGTTTGCTAATATCCTTGCAGTGGAGAGAATCTAGATGGTGATAATCGATGGTAAAGGGGTGGCACAGTGGCTCAGTGGTTAGCACTGCTGCCTCATAGCACCAGGACCTGGGTTCAATTCCACCCTCGGGCGACTGTCTGTGTGGAGTTTGCACATTCTCCCCTTGTCTGCGTGGGTCCCCTCTGGGTAAGAGATCAGAGAACCACTGCTGTCAATCAAGTAAACAATGGGAAGGTTGTGATGAAGTGGAAAGCAGAACTGATAAGATGGTAAAATGGATGATAGGTAATGGAAGCGGTAAAGTGATAAGTAAAGAGACAAACTTGAGTCTACAGGAGTGTAAATGCCAATAGCAGAATTGATACCAGCACTGGCCATCACAAAAATGGGAGTCATATTTATAAACTGAAATTGTGGTCAGGTTTGGAGGCTGTAAACTACATAAAAATTAACACGGCTTGAGAATGCCATCTAACAAATAACTTACATCCAAAACATATTCAACCTTTTGTCATGTTGTGAGTGTTGTTTTTAAAAATTAGTCAATCACTTTTTTCCTAAAATGAAGTTATTCATGCAATTATTAGAAATTAGAGCTTTCACAACAAATAATAACACACGATTATTCAGCACTAGAAATTGGCATATCAAAATTAGCAAACAGTCATTAATTTAATTTTAGATCATCTAATCCAGTCCATAACAGTGTTGAAGCTGTCATTTGCTAAAAAGATGTCACAGGTGTTTCCTTTGCTAGCGACATCTGTACGCCAAAAATTTTTGATCAGCTAGGTAGAAACAATATTTTTGTAATTTTTGCTCTACCTCCTCATGCCACAATATTCCAGATTCAATTCTGAAGATAACTAAGAGTGAAATCATAAAGAAGTTGACTTTTTGTCCAGGGTACAACACTAACAGAGACTATCAAGCGAACCTGCCCCTGCAGTTCAGAATAAACAAACAATAACTACTGGATGATCATTGGGACCAAAAGATAGAATGAAGGCCCCTTGCAAAACACTGATCAAAGAGAACACCACTAAGATCTCATTGAAAATTGAGAGGGCAGAGCTTTATCAGTTTTGTGCAGCTTCTTTGGAATACTAAATGTTGTCAGCTGAATTTTTTTTTTCTTTATTCAATCACGAGAGGAGGGCATTGCTGGCTAGGCCAGCATTTATTGCCCATCCTTAATTGTGCAGAGGGCATTGCTGTGGGTCTGGAGTCACGTGTGGGCCAGACTAGGCAAGGATGGCAGTTTCCTTCCCTAAAGGATTTTAGTGAACCAGATGGGTTTTTTCTGACAATCGACAATGGATTCGCAGTCATCATTTGACTCTTAATTCCAGATATTTATTGAGCTCAAATTTCACCATCTGTTGTGGCAGGATTGGAACCTCGGGTCCCCAGAACATTATATGGGTCTCTGGATTAACACTCCAGCAATAATACCACTCGGTCATCGCCTCCCCAAGAACGAACTATGTAATAAAAAATAGTTGCTAAGCATTTACCCCATGCATTGTTTCTAAAAGAAACCAAATGGTCACATTGACGAGAAGTTCTTTAACTATCTCTATATTGAAACTGTCATGGGATCTAGCTGCTTTTAAAGACTTAAAAACTGACGATAAACAGGTACCAATCCACCAGATTCAGTTTGGCTATTTTTAATCAATAAATTAGCCCTTAGTGTTTAAAAAAAGTCAAAACAGAGACAGTGTAACAGTAATTGAATTGTCTTGTCTGAGAGATTGGAAATCAATGGACTCCTCTAGCCAAAACAGAAAAACAAGCACACCATCTTCAGGCCCCATCCTGAATTTGAAAAGAATTCAAGGAAGCTGTGAGGGTTGGTTGTCATAGGGAAGAGTTATGGAAAAAATGTACTTTTCTCTTTCGTTGCACAGTGAAGTCCCTGAAACTTAGGTGGACTGAAATATTAGGAATTTCAATATCAATCCTGGCATACATAGAGCTTTCTCAGTGGCAAATGACTCATCCTGTAGGCAAATAAATATTTTTTGGTTTAAATTCCCACATCATTGGTTTATCTCCTGATTACGGAATTAGCTGCTCTGCACGTTGAATACTCTGGCCAAGTGAGGTATCAAGATCCCCACCAACTCCACATCTATTTCTCCAAGAGTTGTGTTGCATCGAGAAGACATGAAAAAGATCATGAGTTGTTTAACAAAAACAATATTTTCTTGTTTAATTTTAAAATGGGCTATGTTACATTGAAATGGCTGCTACAAATCACACAATTCACTAGTTGGCTACAATAGTAGAAACTTTCAGCAGACAAAGCTAAACCAGTAGCCTAGTGGAATTTGATGCCTGGAATCAAGTGAACACTGCAAACACAGCAAAGGCACAGAACGTCCATCTCGAACTTGAACAGATTACAAAGGAGAGTCACTGAACCTTACTATATTTGCAAAAGTAATAGTGGCCCATCTATCTCCTAAGTTGAACAATGGATTCTTCATCAGAAATATAGAAACCAATTGTTAAATTGAAATAAGAACATAACATAATGTTCTTATGTTCTTAAATTGAAATGGGCTCCATGATGGGTGAGTGACATGACCAAAACTCTTCTGGTTTTTGAAGCAATACCAATTATACATTTCTGAACCCATGTCTCAGTCTATTTTTAATATTTGGCTTGACTACAATACCACCTACAGACAGCTGGGCTCCATGTTGAGAGTAAAGCCTGCACAAGTCCAAGTTTCCTTGCAATCTGACATTGAGAAAGAATTTTGTATTCGTCTAAAAAGCAAATTCCTAATTTTTAAGAATCATCTTGCTCAGTCATCACAATTTGGACAAAATTCTGCAGGTCCTGAACAGTTCATGAGTTACTGAGGAAAGTTTAAAAGCATTTACCAGCCATTTCTTTTCCCTGAACGGAGATCTGAAGAAAACTAGTAAGCTAGATAAAGGTAAAAAAAAATCACCATTTATAAAAACTAATTATAGCATTAAAATTATTTTCTATTACAAGGATGAGTTGGTTAATCTGATGTGTTGTGCTTTAATTATCATTGACTTTAATAAATTTGTTTGACAGATAAAATCTAAAAACGTGTTGATCCACTGCTTTTAAAACATAAAAGAGCAGCCTGCAAAGACATGGAAACAAAACTGTAACTAAAATAATGTGAAACGAGATTTACTTTTTGAAGAATGCTGTGAATTCTAACTCTTGATTACAGAAAGTAAAAAGGGCCTGCATTTGTTTTGATATTCATTTGCTGAATGATATACTCACTAAATTACTTAGCTCTACTAGATTAAATCGGTGTCCCACTCTTCGAATATCAGTGTTTAACTTAAATTAATATTCTGAACAAACCTGTGCCATACTATTTACAATCATATTCCTACAATCATACATTCCTCAAAACTCCAGATAAACCTCAATGCACCTCTTTGCAATGCCTCCAGTGTATAAAAGTCTCTTGTTTCTTGGCATCCAGAGTTGAACATAGGACACAAGTTACAGTATGATCACAGTATTGTACAGTTTGATTGTTACTTTATCAGACTTATCACTCTGATATCTGTCAGAAGTAAGGGCACCTCTGATAATTTCCGTGTATCCCTCTCCATCCACATGAGAAGTCATGCCAAACTATATTTCCCTGAGTATCCACCTCCAAAAAAAAACTCTCTGCCAAATTTCCTTATAAACTATCAATTTATCAATTTTCGAGCCCTTAGCCTTCCATTCAGCTGAACACTTTTGCAGCTCCTAATATGCTCAACCACACTCTCACCTCCACCTTTTGACGTAATTGAGACAGATACTCACTACCAAGCCATGTAGCTCAAGTCAAGGAACTTCCCAACTCAGCACAGCCACCTTGCTCTAAAGTGCCTGGTCACGCAATATTTGCTCCAGGCAGGAGGATATAGTTGGGTCTGCAAGCCGACCTTGTTCCAGTTGTAAAAAGAATGTCAGCCCTGTTATCACTTTCCCCAACTCAATTTTCTCTCCCATCATTGCCCCTCATGTTGGAAGGAAATAAGGAATAGAAGGTAAAGATGGGAATCATCTCGAGGTCTTGAAGGGTTGCCTCACTATAGGACAAAGTATAAATCAGGAAATGAT